TTTTTTTTTTTTTTAATTTTTTTCTAATATAATTTTATTAGAATTTGATAAAGCGCTTATCGAACAAATAACTGTTAGGCATTTTAACCACCTGTGACATAATTGACAAGTGCAACAAGAAACGAAATAAATATACATATATGTAAATATATGTATGTCTATATTTATGCATATATGTATTTGTATTTGTATTTGTATTTATATGCGGGGCAAATACGTGCAAAACTCCCACACTTAGCTGTAAACAAAACAAACAATATGAAAATTATTTGCAATGCAATTCTCCGTTTTCCATTTTTCATTTTTCATTTCTCATTTGTTTTTATTCAGTTTTCCATTTTTTCATTTGTTTTTGCGCTTTGTGTTTTTGTAATTCATCTGCAACTAATTGAGTTTGCGTGTCTGTGCCAATTGTTGTTTTTTATTGATTTCTGAAAATTTGTTTACAAAATGTAACAACAACAACAACAATAACAATTTTCGGCTTGAATTGTTTTTTGTTTCCTTTAAGCGAACTTTAGCTGATCGCTGCTAATGGCCAGACAACACACACACACACACACACACACACACGCAGACATGCAGATCAGCAGCCTCTTCATCAGCATCATCATTATTATCAGCACACTAATGATGATGATGATTATGAATTGCAGCCAGACGACAAATTTTTGGCCAAATGCCAAAACTTTGCAACTCCAGCAAAGACAACAACAAGTTGGCAGACAGCGGAGACATATAGCTACATATATATATGTATATATTCAGATGCATATATGTGCGCATCTATACATCTATATAGCCATCTATCTATATCCATCTATATCTATATCTTAATTGGAGTTTGTCTGCCTTCTAATTGGATGCAGCATGAAATCGAATAAAAATCTTAAGCCAGCTGCAGTGGCAAATGTTGCAAGCATTATGACTGCACACACACATACACACACATGCACGCACACACAACATTCGCAGAATGCAACAACAAGTAGAAGAAGAAGCAGCAGCAGCTAAAGAAATTCTTAGA